GAATATAAATATCAACGAACTTTTAGCGACCTTTAGAAATCAAAATATTGATTTGAAATTTACAGAATTTTTATTATTTTTAACCAAAAATATAATATCAAGACGAGAAAAAAAATTAAAATAAAACAAAAATTCAATTTTTGACGATTTTGAAAATTTTTAAAAATCTTGAGCGACCCCTAAAATTTTTTTAATCGAGCTGATATTTTGACAGGGCTCTTACAGCATAATAAACTAACATATTTTTACAAGAGACGAGTAAAAAAAAATATTCTTTTTTTTTTGGGCCACCCTAATATATATATACATATGTATCAATACATACATAGGTATATCACAAAAAAAATAATAAAGAAATAAAATTACTTAGTAACAATAAAATTTTTGTCTCTTATGTGAAAAATGAATTCTGGTTTTTACCCGGTTATCCTTCTGGGATCTAAAATTATTTTTGAATGAAAAATAAACTGGTAGTTATTTTCTAATCCAAATTTTAAAAAATTAATTGGTTTTAATTGGTTGGAATGGGTTTGGCGCTATGCATTACCAATTCATTCCATGTGCATTTCTATTGGATTTAGCCAATAGAGACAAGCATAGGCATGGATTGGTATTTTTCAATTCAAGCCACTGACTTCATTGGAAATTACCAATAGGAATTCAACTGGAATGAATTGGTGATTCATAGCGCCAAAACACATTTCAAACCAATTCAAACCAATTACTTATTTTTTATTGGATTATATACAAAGTTTATATGCAAAAGTGCTCTTTTAGTTCCACCCTTACATCTTAAGAAGTCCCATAAGCCAACTGAATGGCTTGTGCGGGTTAGGGGTAGGAACGGACCGCGGGCTTAAAGTCCCCTCCGAAGGACTATTACACAATAGGACAAACACAAATAAACAGCCATACCCCTGGGTGCCTATTCTTGAAAGCAAGAGAAAGGAGTGGTCTCTGGGAGCTCCCGGAGAGCTTCCCCTCATTTGTACTCCCTGATATAAAAATGTCGTATTCTTAAAACATCGAACGCACCGGCGAGAATCAAAAAGGGATTTAAATCAGGGAACAACGTTGCCGTTCGTTTAACCAATAAAATTACAAAACATTTTGACAAAGAACACACTTAACCTAAGTTTCTGTCATTGTTTTGATGTTTTTTTTTAATTTTAATGGTTTGTGTTTGATAAAAACAGAAATGGAAATAAAAGCAAAACAATTAAGTGCGAAACAAAAACAAGTTTTAGTGGATTTCGTTCACTCACGACCCGATATGTACAAGGGAAAATTAAAATTATACTAATGCCATAAGTACAGACTTATGGAAAGAAGCGTCGTGCATTTTAAATGCAATTCCAGGAGGGGCTGGTAAGGACTGGAAACAGTGGAGAAAGGCAGAGGTTCTTGTGGATTCGGCTAAGAAAAGGGTGACATTGTCAATTATATCATGAAATAGCTCCTTATCCACCCTGAATAGCTGCACAAATTTTCTATCAGATAATTGAAGTGCATTTGTCTTTGGCAGAACATCCCTCCCAATAGCCAATTCTGCCACCGCTTCCTCAACATCCCTGTTAATAATTTCATTCCACAGAATTAAATTAAAAATGTCCATATTATTTTATTTTGAAACTGACACAATAAACACTAGGTACACAAATTTAGGTTAGGTTTGCTGTTTCTCTCAGCCTCTAGTTGGAGAACTTTAAGTTCTCTTGGGAGTAGCTCCCTCCCTTAGTATTTTTTCAAGAATACCGGATTCTATATTTTTCTTAAACCACGCCCACTTCTCTCGCAAGTTCTACTCCCTGACATTCAAGAATAGGGATTCGAACCCACGACCTCCGGCTTGTAGTCAGCAGCACTAACCACTCGTCCACCATCGGCGGATTCTATTGGTATTTTCCAATTCAAGCCGCTGACTTTATTGAAAATTACCAATAGGAATTCAACTGGAATGAATTGGTGATTCATAGCGCCAAAACACATTTCAAACCAATTCAAACCAATTACTTATTTTTTATTGGATTCTATTGATCATTTACAATAGGGAACTCATATTTAAAAAAATGAACTTTACATATATAATATGTGTTTATAGGCCTCCACTTGTGTGATCTAAGAGTTTTTTAACACAAATGGATACTGCCCTAAATATTCTAAATCTAAATAAAAATATTATAGTTGCTGGAGATTTTAACGTAGATTTTCAAGAAAACACAAATAATTCTAAACATGCATAAAATGCATTAAATACTTACAACTTACAAAAAATATTTATGGAACCATCACGGATAACTTTAAACACATACCTACACATGTATAGATAATATATTTATAAACACAAAGATAAATACTTACCACAATAAAACAGAAAATGCTCACCTCTCTGACCATCTTACAGTTACAAATACTCAACTCTTTATTGAGCATATTAAAAACACCTCCTGGGATGTTTCTACATCGGCAAGTGGCGAAGAAAGTTATAATTACTTTCATAACAGTTTTACGCATTTTTTTAAACTTTGCTTTCCTATAAAAAAGTGAACATTAAAACAACTAGACAAAAAATTAAATCCAACAAAGAAACAAGAGAATTAAAAGATGAAAACTATATGAACTTATACAAAAAACTAAAAAATAATTACAAAGTCCACCTAGAACAAAAAACAAAATCAAATGACCTTCAGCAAATAAACAATGCGAAGGCATATTCAGTTTAAACTATTGATTTCAAAGTTATGGACAGAAAGCTTGAGATTGATTTAAAAATACTTCACTAAAATGTAACTAAATTTCAATTTTTGTAATGTAAAATATTTCTAAATCAACAAAATATGGAATTTAAAACATAATGGTTTTTAAGGTATACATTTTTATAAGAATACACAAATAAAAAAAGAACGGCTAAATTTTCTTCTGATTTCTTCTTTGTTTTTTTTTTTGTTTTTTTTTTTAAATAAATATTGTGTTTTAATAGAAATAGAGTTAATTCATCCGAATATAAACAAAAGTAATATTAAAATTGAAAACATTCAGCAATATAGCAATTTTAAGGAGCGGAGCACTCAGTGCACCGCGCGACCACTTATGTTACAAAAATTGGCGCCAGTAGTTAAGGGTTAGGAAATATAGAATACCAATCAGCAAGTTCAATGATCTTATATGAAACGGACCTCTCAGAAGTTATCAGAGCAGCAAAAAATGTAAAAACCAAATAAGCTAGGGATGTATATGGAGTATCAGTAGAATTCCTACAAACAATTATAAACGAAATTGCCAAATAAATGTGAAAATATCAATTCCTGCCTTTTAAAAAATGTTTGAGTGGTTATTAAAAGTTAGGATCGTAAAATTTATTGAAAAAAAGAAAATCATAGTTCCGTCTTAACACGGCTTCAAAAATCGACAGTATCTGCTATGATAGAAGTCATTGAAACAATTATAGACAATTTTGAAGATAAACAGGATACAGAAGTAGCTTGCTTGGATTTAAGTAAAGCATTTGATTGTGTAAACCACCAAATATTGCTCGACAAACTATATTTCTATGGAATCAGAGGTCAAGCACATAATATACTTTTATCTTACCTAAGAAACCGAAGACAAGTAGTTGAGTAGAAAGATAGACAAAGCAAAGAAGAATTAATTAACATGGGAGTACCACAAGGATCCATCTCAGGACCAATTTTGTTTATCCTATATACAAACGATCTGACAGCAAATGTAAATACTTCAAAATCATGCATTTATGCTGATGATACCACTTTTATAAATAGTTCCGGCAATACAATAAGGCTAAAACAAAAGTCCATTAAAGCGATAAACAATGCACAAGATTGGTTTAAGACAATCGTGTTAAAACTAAATAAAGAAAATACTCAAACACTTGTATTTCACTAAAAAAACCTACACTACCTGGAAATATTCATTTGCTAGGGTTTTATATGGATTCAACATATAGATCACTCTTAAAAGAAACTAACATCAGCCATTTATTCAATTAGAAGAATAAGTTTTATCGTGAACAAAAATGCCGCAATATTTTGCACATTTATTGGGTAAGAAAGACATTTTTTTGCGATCGTTAGGGTACTAAAACTAATTAAACCACGGTAAACCCTGACCGGCTTACTTTAACGCTCTGTATATACGAGACGCTTCACTTAATTTGATAAATATTGGAGTACAGTATATACCTCGCATGTTTGGTCAAAATCGCTGATATCGAGGAAATAGGTGGCAGGTGGCAGGCGCGTTTTGCCTCATATGCTTTCATAGATTTTTTATCTGGATTGGAACGTTTTACAGGATTTTAATTATTATTTTTGGAAATAATTTATTTTTTATCCCTGAAAATACTTGGAAAATAATATAAATTAATAAATATTCAGAATGGTTATTCTAGTAGGTACTAATTTTTAAAACATAACATGATTATAATATATTTACTTATTTATTACAGATATAAAAAAGACAAAATATATTTTTTTTAATTGAAACTTACATTTTATCACAAATAGGAAGTATTTTATTTCACACCTTAAATCTAAGTTTTATTTGGTATATATTAATATTACTGATTGAAACCAAGAATATTTTTTTTCAAGCATATAATAATTTTCATATTATAATTCTCAGTATTTATAAAAAGACTTCATAAAAATAATATACTCTATTTATTTAAACAATAAAGCCCATTAAGACAATATTAAAAATTAAAACATTTGTTATTTTTAATTGTTGTTAATTGTTAGGATTGTTTTGCTTGGCTTTATTGCTTAAATAGATCAAATAGTCAAATTCTTATATACTTACAAAAATGATGCTAAAAAGTCATCATGTCAGTTAAACCTAACCTAAAAATAACAGAATCTTAAAGAAATATTCTAATTAAATGCTTGAAAAAAAATAGTATATAAATCACGGCGGTGAGAGCTTATTAATTGCATACAATATACTGCCTCAGCATGCGCCTCGGCAGTAAAATGTATATTGGGCTATAATATGAGCTTCCCCTGCCTGGGCTATAATGTACTATTATGTAACATGTTAATGAATAAATAAAATTTAAAAACCAAATGAAATAAATAAAAATTACAAGAAAAAAAAACAGTAGTAAATTATACATGTTTATAGCAAAGGTGTATGGACTAGAAATAGTTGAGCAAAATTTAAAAATGTTTCAAATTTCTAGGATATTAAGACCCTGCAAAAAATTGAATAGTTTTAAAAATTAGAACTTGTTAGCATTAAATGTAAGTTATAAATAAAACTTATTTAAAAGTAAAAATAATTTGTTTAAAGAAAATACTTTGGCAATATATCACGCAAAAAGTCTTAAACTACATATGGATAATCCGTATTGGTTTCCGCAGTTGTCTGAATATAATCATAGTTGCGCTTTCTTCTTTTCATTGGCGGAAATGTAATGGTAACATTTTTTAATTCGAAATTTTTACCATACCGCTTATTTAGGCTTTGAATAACTTCGTCTTTTAAAAAATGCAAGCATCTGCAACAAAAAATGTTGGTAAAATCCCATTCAAAATGTTATAAATATAAATATAAAACTATAGTACAGTGTGCAACGAGTGGGGAAAATGGTTCGATTATGAACGAGAATTCGTTTGTTGCGCGAACGAAGCGAGCGTATCGAGAATACAAGTTTAGAATCGACCATTCTAAACGTGTTGCACATATTATTTTATCCCACAATCAAATAAACGTAAATCAATATACTAAGTACACATTAACAATACTAATCTCCCAGGGTTATTTTACCCCCTTTCTGTTCTCCTACCTGTGTTTGTTGGATCCGAAGTTTTAACGCCTGCTGGTAGATCTACCCTAGAAGGTCGTGGATGACAATGTCGATGTTTAAGCCCACTCCCGGATTTTTGTCGCCGGGTTGGGCCATACGCCCAGTTTAGGCTAGTGGAGAGCGGGACAAGGAGGGTAAATGTTGGTTTTTGGAGGACATTGAACTGACCCAAAACTAAGTACAATCCGGAATCCTCCTCAACCGGGGCTTGTAGTAATAACCCCATTCAATTGGGATTAATGAATGGGGTAGAAGTGTTAATACGCTGCTAGAACCTGTCCTTGTTGGTGTGAACGTCTCTGTCCGAGTCGGTTTCCGGTTCCTGGTAACCTCTTTAGAATTGCCCCCCTGTGATGAACCGAATCTTATCTTCAGTACCGAAGTGTTGGCGGCCACGACCCGCCGTAAGTGCCCTCTGCCTTCGTGGATATTCAACCCCTCACCGACCTTGTATATTCTTTATTTATTTTATTGTTAAATTAGTGTATTATACCGTTTACCATTTAATTTATATCTTTGCATTCTTACTTTTTTTTAAATTTAATTTAAAAATTAATATTATAAATATTAATATACAAAATAGATAAAGCCGGCCCTGAAGTGTACGTAATAATTTGGAATACGGCCCTATTGGCAGGCCTTGGCTGTTTAATAGAGAGGGTCGCTCTTCTTATCTTATAATAATAATAATAATAATAATAATAATAAAATGTCTTTATTTGAGTAAAAATTATTTTTTACATTTTTCTTCAACTAGGCGAAGTCTAGCCTCAGGCTACTCCACTTAACCTAGTATGACAATTTTGGGTTACATCGAGAAAAAAAAAATATAACAAAACATTCTTTAACTAAATAAATTTTAAATTATTAACACTTTAATGCATACAAAAAATTTTGTTTTAGCCTACGCTTAAACGCAGCTAATGAAAGAGATTTTAATTCTTTGTTTACATTATTATAAAGTACAACAGCATTATAGCTAAAAGAACGCGTAAACATGGATAAACGAAACTGTGGTAAAGATAAATTATTATTTTGTCTTAATGAAACCGAATGAAGATCTCTACGGAAAATAAGTTTTTCTCGCAAGTAGGTGGGGGTACTCGTCAAAATAATTTGGTGTACATACACTGATAAGTTTAACCTATACAAGTTTTCTAATTTTAACCAACCCAATTCTTCTATTTTTAGAGTAACATGTTCAAATTTTTTTAATCCAAAAATAAATCTGCAACACTGATTTTGAATTTTTTGTATACGATACAGAGTACATTTATCCAAACATGGAACATATAAAATATTACAATAATTAAGCATGGGCAAGAGTAATGTTTCACATAACTTTTTTCGCAATTTATAGTTAATTATGCTAATGTTACTATAAAATGTTTTAAGTAAGTTATAGGACTTTTGTACCAAAACAGAAATATGATCCGCAAATCTTAAATTTTCATCGAAAATTACTCCCAAATTTTTTACTTTACTTTGAATTTCAAGTAACTTGCCATCGACGTATATTTTTAAATTTTGTTTAACAAAGGCCTTAACGTTTTGAGATGAAAAACTAATAAGAACACACTTTGAAGGATTGAGTTTTAGGTTATTGTCCCTAGAATATTCCGAAATGCCTTTAAGATCACTATTTAATTGATTACACGCCTGGATTATGGATTGTGGCTTAAAAGTATACAATAATTGAGTATCATCAGCATATCCTTGAGCTATTGAATATTTAACACAATTAAAAATGTCAGCAGTGTATATTAAAAATAATATAGGTCCCAGGACAGAGCCCTGGGGTACCCCAGAAGTTATAGCACAGGAATTGGATAAAATTTCATTTGCTACCACTTTTTGTGTTCTTTCTGTTAAATATGACCTAAAAAAATTACAAGATGTTAAGTCAAAGCCATAATATTCAAGTTTAGCTATTAATAAAGAATGGTCTAGAGTATCAAAAGCTTTAGAAAAATCAAGTAGTACGAATGCTGCGGCTAAACCCTTATCCAAGGCTGAAAAAATATTGTCCGATACGTTAAGCAATACAGAAGAGGTACTATGTCCTTTTCTAAAACCCGATTGGTAGTTAGATATGATGTTATTTTGTAAAATATATTCATATATTTGTGTTTTTAAAAATGATTCTAAAATTTTTGCTAGAGTAGGAATTATAGTAATGGGCCTTAAGTCTGAGTATGCAGTAGGTTTACTATTTTTAGGAAGCGGTTTTACCAAAGATAATTTCCACTGATCCGGAAAATATCCAATTTCTAAACAGCAGTTAATAATGTGCGTAATGTATTTACTTAATACAGGCAAACAATACTTTAACATAATTGCACTAATACCATCAGAGCCAGTGGCGTTTGACTTTAAATTCTGTATTATTTTGTCAATTTCGTCAACTGTTGCTAAATTAAATTTAAAGCTTAAATTGTTTTTAAATATTTTCTTTTTGTACCAATTTACAGTATTTTGACAGTTGTTGGAAGGCAGAAATACAGAACTAAAATAATCATTAATAGCATTTGCGTTATTTAGGTTGTTTGGTATGTTGTGATTTGTTGTCTTTGTAATATTCAAATTATTTATTCCTTTCCATAGGGCCTTTTTATCATTACTTCTCTGAAGCAATGACAAATAAGCCTCCTTTTCTCGCCTTATCGAAGCAACCACCAAATTACGCAATTTTGTATAGTTTAGCCAGTGATTAATATTTTTAGTCTTTTTATAGATACTTAGCGCAATATCTCTGTCCTTCATCATTTGTTTTATGGCATTGGTAAGCCATGGTGAATAAGGTTTAGTAATACGGGATGTTTTAAGTGGTGCATATTTATCAAATAAGTACAGTACAGTACTGTACTTATTTGATAAATATGCACCACTTAAAACATCCCGTATTACTAAACCTTATTCACCATGGCTTACCAATGCCATAAAACAAATGATGAAGGACAGAGATATTGCGCTAAGTATCTATAAAAAGACTAAAAATATTAATCACTGGCTAAACTATACAAAATTGTAACTGTCTGAGACAAGAAGTAAATTTTATCATTAATATCCCTAACGTATAACAATTCATCCCATCTAATATTGTTTAATTCGGTCCAAAATAGTACATATGAAAAATCCCTATAGTTTCTATAGGTTACAAGTTTTGGTTCTGCACGTATAACTTTAGTTTTAAGTTCACAAAAAATAATACTATGATCTGAGATAGAGTCAGAAGATAATATACCAGAAGTAAGCAACATATTTGAATTGTTAAAAAATATAACATCAATGATTTTCTCAGTAGTAACAGTAACACGAGTTGGCTCAGATACGTATTGTTTAAAATTGAATGAAGCAAAACAATCCGACACTGGATTTTCAAAAGTTTGGTCCACATTTATATCACCCATAAATAAAATGTTATCATATTGAGGAACAGTGAAAGATAAAATATCATCAATATGTTTAACAAAGCAATTTACATTACTATTAGGTACTCTATACAATACACAAATAAGCAACTTGATTTTGCCAAGTCCTACAGTTAAAAATAATTGTTCAACACCCTCTATAGGATTAAAATCATTTAAAACTTGTGTACAATTCAAGCTACTTTCAACATAGATACCCACACCCCCTCCACGGCCTAAGCGATCTTTTCTGAATAATTCAAAATTAGGTATACTTACAGTTTTTGAGTCCACATTTTCGTTTAACCATGTTTCTGTCACACAAAAAATATTAAACTTATAATATGAAATTAAATTACAAAGAGTATCAAACCCTGTAAAAAGGGACCTTACATTTAAATGCCCTATTTTAATATTTTGTAATACAACCTTATTCATAATTAGTTTTGTCTCTTATTTGTTCAATTTTAAATCTTTTGTAATGACAAACAGACGAAGTAGCACAATGATCAGTCGTTAAGTTTAATTTAAATTTTTGGTTAGCACTAGTACAATTTGGACATGAAAAAACTGTGGACGTACAGTCTTTTTTCTCATGGGCCCCACCGCATGTTGGACAGGTACATGATTGAGCACGACAATCCTTTAAAATGTGACCATATTTGTTACACTTAAAACAACGTTTAAGGCTAAAATGTTCTTTGGCTGTGCATCGTTTCCAGCCAATATATAAATATCCCTTGCTTAAAATTATTTTTCTTATATTTGGTGACACTTCTAGAATTAAATTGTAAACATTATTAAACTTAAGTTTGGTAACAATTTTAAGGTCATTTTCATTTGCATTCAAATCATTATAGGTGCTTATTAAAGTTGAAAGATTGACTATATCTACGGATTCGGCATCAACACTATAGACAATTATACGGGGATTAAGCTTTATGGGCTCAGATATATTATATGTTGAACCAACTGAATTTGTTAAACAGCTTTTAAGTTTAGTTACACCTTCTGCATCACCACACCTAATCATAATGCCATTTTTAATTAATTTTGTGTCAACTATATTTAATTGTCTTGGGTTAATTTTAGACTTAATTTCATCTTCAATATTTTTATTAGAGACCGATGGATTAGTTGTTTTCACAAATACAACAGCTGATTTTGTGTTTACATTTTTTACTGCCGCACTATAAGAACTTGTTGTTTCGTTTGATTCACACGTAGACATTAAATTTGCTGTTTTTTGTTCACATTTAAGTATTAACGTTTTTTGTAGTTCGACGGTATATTCCAAATCAATAATTCTTTTATTTAATAATTCATTTTCTTTTTCAAAACACTCATTTTCTTTTTGTAGAATAGCATACTGAACATTAGGAACTTCACTGATTGGAATATCGCTTACAGAATCACGGGGTTTAGATGGAGTCGGCCACTTTTTACAACAATCTTTGCATGTCCAGTCTTTTTTAACAATTTTAATGACTTTCGAAATTGCTTCAAAACATTTTGAATGCATAACTATACAACAATCACTACCACTACATTTTAGCCCACCTCGGCTAATTTTTTCACTACAAATGCAACAGGCTTTACTGTTTTTATCACCATCGTCAAATTCACTGCCTGCACTCTGCGGCATCGCAACATTTTTTTCTTTAATCTTCTGTGATGTGTTATTTACGTGCTCGTTTAATTTTTTCTTTTATTTATTTTAAGCTTTGATTCACATCCACTTAATATGCGTAACTTAACTTAACTTAACTTAACTTACGAAACATACGTCTGTTAAGTTGTCTGTTTACATTAACTTAATACACACAAAAACGTAATATACAAGCACGCGCAATGTAGACATCGATGTAGACTGGGTTGCCTATCTATCTATAAAAGTGAAACAACAAGATAGCGCTATATCGTTTTACTGGGCATGTGATTGGCTCTATCTATAAAAGTGAAACAACAAGATAGCGCTATATCGTTTTACTGGGCATGTGATTGGCTCACGTAAGAAACGTATTCCCTTAAGTTGAGCCGGACCCAACTTTTGGATACGTTAAGTTACGTGTGATAAGTTTTCTACGAAATTAAACAGCTGCATTGGTTTCAATGTATTTCAACTTACGTCTCTCACGTACGTTAAGTTAAGTTACGCGTATTAAGTGGATGTGAATGAGCTTTTATGGGAGGAGACCAGCCCGTAAAAGCTTATATTTAAATGCATATACATACAATATATACACCTATTACACATACGGAACATTTATTTATAAAATTACATAGTTTTTGTCGTTCCTGCTTGATTTGGTTTATTTACTCTTACGCCTTTTTCTATTCGGTTAAGTTGATTTATGGGTTGGCTACACTGAGAAAAATGAGGTTGTTAGTTTAACACTTACGGAAATGTTATTCTTATCTTTGTTAAATTAATTATTTTTTTTTAACAATCAGAGGTTGTTATACAAGAGTGCTTATATCAAAGATTTTATCCATTAATTAATGTCAACTGCATTTATTGAAAGATTTGTAAAATTTTAGTAGTAATAAAAATGTATATTCAAATTTTACGAGTTTATTGTAAAAAACTGTATGCACATTGTTCGTATTGAATGTGCAAAAACTGTTCAGTTAATATTAAAACTTGTTTGTTTTCTGAAGCCAGATGGGATTCTTGGTAATCACATTGCGAATTTTTTAACGATTAGTTTATAGATTAGAATCGAATTGGTACTGTTATTAGGTCATGCAATAAGGAAATTAGTTAACTAGACTTGAAATTCTGTTACCCTGTCCCTAGCGGACAGGGTACCGGTTTACTGATTTTGATTTACTCGCATCCGATAACTTTCCGGATTATCAGATTCCTTATTAGGACTTGTATCGCTTAGGAGCGCTCGCACTATAGCCGTAGCTCAACCACTCGCCTCAAGAGGAAGAACGAGACTGATGAAAAAGAGTAAGTATGTATCATTAGTATTTAAAAATAGTTGTAATTCATTGTTGACAATTATTGCCTTCTTTTTCTTGTTCTTTTTCATTATTCAACAATATTTTCATTGTTCAATTAGTGTAACAATAGCTTACACTTTTTTTTAGCGTATAATGTCTCAATTTCAAGTGAGTGTGAGACAAGATTTTTTCATATTCTTAATGTAAAGGACAATTAAAGTACAATTAAATTTAAACTTAGCTCGTGCCACACTAAATTATAATATAAATAATAATAATAATAGTATTTATTAATCATAGGTTGTATATAATTAAATTAAACATATATGGGTAAAACGGTATGATACTAAATACAAAAATAGCCCCTTAAATTTAAACTTATCTGGGGAGATTAATACATACATATAAAAGATAAAAGTTATTAGAATTTAGAATACAAAGAAACAACACACAAATGACTTAAAAAAAACAGCGTCTTTAGGGAATTTAAAGTGTGGATTTGTAAAAAAGTTACCAATTTTCCCCCACACTTGCAACTGGCAATAAAAATTGAGCAGGACCGATATTTTGAAACGTCAAAAGACTTGCACGAAACGTCGCTATGCGCATGCCTTCGTGTAAGTATATTGCGTATTGCACGTAGAATTGCAACAATTTTATTAAGCAAATCTTAAAAATCGCAAAGAAAAGTACTAGTTTTAAGGTTAGAACATCTATCTGAAGGAAGTCATGTCTATAACCCGTATGACAGTCTGCAATTCTACGTGCAATACGCAATAAACTTTTATACATACAAGTAAGAAATATTTGCAACATCGCTTAAAATTAGACAGTGATTTTTTTAACTACGCCTTACATTCATAATGCAAAATATGGTTCCAAAAGTCTCACGTTTCACGGATGGCTACGACGGATTCTAACGACAAATTGTAAAGGCTTTGAACGGTTTGTTGGTTTATTTTAAATTATATTTTTCGGGACTGATCCCTGGATTGGTTACCTTTGTCCAGAAAGTCCCGGGATTGGAAAAATGGCTCGGGATTGCCACCCCTAATTGATAGATATGTATTACTTTAGTAAGTAATACTGACTGAGTATGTATGTAATTTTTGGAGAATGCTTAACAAATGTAAGTCATTTAGCCCGTGTATGTAGGGTTGTCAGAAATCAAAATTCCGTAAATAGAAGAATTAACTAGAAAATATAGAAGTTTAAAAAATTTATAGAAAATTTAAGCGCGATTTATAAACTTTTAGTTGGCGTTGGCGCTGGCGCTCTTTAAAAATATTTTAAAATCGATGATCTGTTATTATTTCATTCATTTAGATGTTCTTTATGCACTTTTTAATAATAAATTAAACCGTTTTAAACTAGAAAATAAACATATTATCGATTTGAAATATTTGTAAAAAGTTTATATATAAATCGCCCTTTAAACAAATCATGTATTGCATTGAGTATAATTGTTAATTTATTAAAAATAAATACATACTAAACCTATTTTGTTAAATTAAAATAAGAAAAGTAGTATTAATTAAACATTATATTTTAAACCAATTCAATAAATACAATAATACTGAACATTGCAACTATACTTTATTTCTAAAATCCTAAAATATAGAAGATTTTGCTTTACAGTGATCAGTTGCATGCGAATGCTTTGTCAGGAGAATCCGTTCCTTAAGAATTGTACATGAATACAAGTAAAATCCAAAAACTAGGGACATTTCATTTAAAAAACCAATGCAAAGTTTACTTCTTACTTGAAATGTCGCCCGACAATCAGGCCACCCATAATACACGCGTGGACCCCTTGGAACGCTCCTGACCACCTAACCTAACATTCGCCGGACGGTTTTTCACAATTTAAATTGATGATGCAATTAGACTATGTTTGTTTAGTTTTTCTTCATAGTTTAATCTATGGTTTTGTTAGTTTCTGAGAGGGACTTTCTGTATTTGCTTCTATCAAGTCTGAAGAAAAATAAATAACCTTAATGTTTGTAAGTTGTCAAATTTCAGACACATATATGGGTAAACGTTTTATAATGTGGATTCCAACAAACAAAAATGTTTATACTTACAATCTGTATTGAGGTGATGTTCTAAAACTGATCATATCTGAACTGGGGCTATGAGGCTTATGAACAATAAACACGTTGGGAAGAACAGTAAATGTGTAACCCTGAGCTTCAAGTTCCATAATATGCGAAACTTTGTTCCATCCAAAACCAACAAACCTTTTATCGTATTGGGTTACATTGCTTCTAACAACTATATAAGGTTCAAAATCGTGATCCCATTTTACGTTATAAGGTTCTTCAGCATTTTGCCATGCTGGAAAATTCGTAGGAGAATGTCCACTTGGCCATATTTTTTCCAAGAAAGGATTAACACGTCCTTTTTCCCATAGTTCGATAAGTTTTGATTTGTTTCTTGGAATCGAGTCAGCAAAGTAGGATAACTCAAAAGCAGGTATAATTAAAGCCTAAAAATAAATAAAATTATTGCTAGAAAATTTAAATTTAAAAAAATAGCTGTAACTACTTCATTAATGAGTTTTTTCGTTTCCTTTAAATAATCTTTTATTGCACTGTAAAGCTTTGATACCGGGATAAAGTCAATGTCTGTTAAAAAAACAAATGGGGTGTCCACATTGGACAGACCGGTGTTTCTTAAAATGTTAATTGGGTAAAAATCCTAGAAAAAAAGTAAAATGGGTAAGTAAATAAAATATTTACTTATTTTAACTTACTCCATCTTTAAAAACAACATGATAAGCAATATTTTTTCTTTTCATTAAAATTTCTGAGTGTAGAATAAAATCTGAAGCTCTAATTAACTCCGCATCTGATAGATAAAATGTTATACTCATCGGTCCTAAAAATAATATTTAATTAAATTAACTCCAAACTTTAATGTACCCTTAATTACCTGGCCAATAATTCGCTATTTCTTCAAACACAACTAATCTATCGAAGGAACATTGAGCTACCAAAGTAACATCATATTCCAATGTTTTGTAATCATATGGCATAAAATACAAAAGTGTTCGCCACTTTGTTTCCGATGCTCTTCGAAATTTATCACAAGTACTTTGGGATTCAATTAAAATTGATTTAGTTTGATTGTCGCAATTTAAAAGCTGTTTCCGAAGCAAATTACCGTTGTACTCCATGTACGTGTCAGCTAAACTTTTAAAATATTCCCTATCTGGGTTTACGACGTTGAGCTTTTTCGGCGAATTCCAATGAACAATCTTAAACAAATAGCAAATTGTGATCACATTTAATAATGCTATTAGTAGGCGTTCCGACGAATGAAATTAGTCAATTTTTTTTTATATAAATCTGAGTTCGGAATAGTAAATTTAGTTTTTTGTAAATAAAACAGTACACTACAAGTTATTGTGATCAGCAGTGGTGATTCACCACTATAATACTTTAAAATAGTACTGATTAGAAAATCTTATAATCTTATTTTTAAGACTAATATAAAACAACAGTAGATTTTGATAATTGCAGCCAATATCGTAAATGAGTATTTAAGGGATCACGATATTGAGAGAACGAATTGGCCACCTTTGACTCCGGATATGAATACTATTGAGCATGTGTGGAGCAGGATGAAACTGAAGATGAAAGAGAGGGAAGGACGCATGGATGAATTAGTAAATGCTATTCAGGAAGAATAGGAAGCCATACCCCAGGAATTTCCAAGGAATTTGGTCGAGGGAATGCCCAGGAGGGTTAACGAATTATTACGGTAAGGGGAGGGCCAACGAAATATTGAAAGTTATTATTGTTATTGTTTATTAAATTTTTCTGTTGAATGTTGTAGTTTTGATTATGATTATATCTTTGCATAAAATTTTCAAAAATGAATAAGAATATTTTTATTTAACTTTATTAGCAATTAGGTAGGTACTTATCAGTAATAAGTTATCACTAGTGCGCAAGTAACATTATCCTAAACACTCAAACCAATTGCAGTAATTTCGCCCAAAAAATGAATAATTAACCCAGGTAGCACAATGACGTCTGGTGACGTTTAAATGACGTCAGTTTTAGGTCGATTTTTGGTCGGAGATATCAAATCACCAATGTAGGACGTTCCCAGGCAACACAGGGTCGTAGAAATCACGTAGAATCGTCGACGAATTGGGTCGAATTTGGTCGAAGTTACATTTCAACCATTTTTCGACGTCTCAAAATTCACCAAAACACGACCAATTATTAACTTAGGTCGATGATAACCAATAAATGACGTCATTATCACGTGAACAGATGACGAAATTTTTAAGAAAATATGAAAATATAGTGATAATTAATAAGAAACAGTTTGCCCGTTTTAATGGGCCGACAAAAAGTTTTGGAATATTTTTAAAAACAAAAATTATTATTTTTATTTAATTTACGTTATTTCGACGGAGAATCAACGTGCAATATTTTATTAAAATAATTTTAAACATTATTTGGTTTTAAACTAATTAAGATAGATTAATAATTATTGATCAATAGATTTTTTAAAACAAATTCGCGATTTTTAAATCCTTTATCATTTTATCACAAAATAAGAAATTAACATGTTACTTACTGCAGTTGACAATCACAATTTTAATTTTAGTAAAATTATTTATCTACAGTGTTGCCAGATGTTTTATAATTTTCTTTTTTAAAATAGTAAAATTTAAATAATAATCGATAATTGTAACATAATTTAATCCGCCGCATAGTTTTGCTTGTTTTTATACAATTTTTGTTTTGATAATTTTATATAATTTTCTGTAAATTTGATCATTTTGTCAACCCTCTTCGATAATATTAATTTTTGCACCTGGCAACCCTGTTTTTCTTTGGCCTTGGGTAAGTTGGCACTACTTACAAAGCGAGGGAACGTTTATTCCTAAAAAACAATATGGTTGATTCAAGCGTCCAACTTTTATAATCTGTGGCATTTATACATAGAACAAACCATTTATACTGATAATACTTTGGCTGTGTCAGGTAGGTCAATTTTTGTTTGTTTATTAATGTTTTAATTACTCAGTATATTCCGTAACGAAGTCATAACACCTAAATGAAGTACCTACATAAGCTCCTAAAATATTGACCTGTCATCTGTCTTAAAATTTAATGTGTTTGATTTTATAATAAATGTTTTGAGCAACTTAAAACATGTTTTATTAATTAATAATCCAAAAGCCCTTTATGCACTGGTAAAAATAATTATTTATTCTTATATCTGATATTTTAATGCCATCATATATGCCAGACATATGTATGTGTTTCTGCAAAGATTAACTAACAAATTTTTTTTTGATATTCTACTTTTTTACATACATTTATTTTGATTATTAATTATTTACTAAATATATATCTACTATAGTAGTATATATATATACTATATATAGTAAGGTTTACCTATTTATTTCTTAAAATTTAAAAGTACAACTAAAAATTTTTTGTTTTTTTAATTTTTACAAAATCACATTTCGCATTGAAATATCTGATATCAGTATCGGTAATTATTTTTATGTGTATGACCTAATCATATATTCAAGAAATATTACGTGATTATTCACGTCAAATTACGTAAATAATTACGTAATATTACGTGATTTTACACGTGAAATCGCTGTGACATATTGTCGTCAATTTTACGACGATAAGACGTGTCTAAGTTGGTGACTTCGACGTCACCGTAGACGTAAATTAACCGTTATATTCACGTCACTGTGTTGCCTGGGGTTATGACGAAGTCACATTTTATGACGTCGTCCGTACGTAATGTAAGGTCCTAAATCTCTTTGAAGAGTAATTACTATATGTCAAATCGAACTCTGATGACCTTATAGGAAATAAAAATATAATTTTAAGATTTTTATGCAAAATAATTTTCGACTTAATTGTTAATTTTAGTATTTAATTAAATTTTCCTATTTTCGAAATAATAATTTTCGGCTACTCTACATTGAAGTGGATTATTTAAAGTTTACCCTACTATAGTAGAGTTTTCGTAGAAATTATAAAATTATTTTGGCTTTATATTTGAATTTTAGCGAACCTTGACAATTCTCGTTTGGAAACCAATCGCATGGCTCTGCTGTTATGGGTATTGTTCCCTCGCTACGCGATTGCGCCGATATTCGTTTGACGAACTTTTTTAACTTAAATAGTGAGCTATTTGTTATATGGCAATTTGTCATGGTAGAAGAAAAAATTTAAAACGTTAATGTGTATCGTGTGATTTGTTATAGGATAGGAGATAAAGCCTTTATTTATGTGTATCGTTTTATTTGTTATATGATGGCTTTAATAATAGCATGGTTTGTTCTGTAGATAGTAAGCTGTGGTTTGAAGGTGACGCGCACTGCATGGGGACACGTTTGTACCTAAGTAGAAAGTGATTTTTGAGGCAAGCGGAAAATTATAATTGTTGTTTTATAAAGTGCAATTTAAACTTCATGAGGTTTAAATAATATTAAAAGCGTTTTAGTACAACATAAAGGGGATAAAACCAACTTGTTTTTTGGGGTAACGTTGATTTTGTAAGACATACCTAACCAACAAAATCTGATTACATACCTAACCAACAATCAGCTTGCATGATTTTTTTAGTTTGACGTTTTGGTTTTCTTTTGAGTTTAATTAAAGCCAAAGCATCAAAATGTTATAATGATTAATAATTCAATTATTTAATTGGTGAAAAATGTCTTTTCTTCTCATAGAGAAGATAATGAAGAAGGAAAATTGGCGGTTGTCCATGGTTGGTTTTAAGAGGGATGACCCCTCTTAAAACACAAGTTTTTTGGCGTCCCTACAAACAGAAATCTCAGCTTAATAAAGCCTTACGTAAAGGTAAAGATGCCAAGGACACATGGGAACTATTTGAAATAAAAAGATGCTTTTACACTTTGGGTAAGAATGAATAGCTTCAGTGGTGGTGTGGTTGAAGTAACTGGGTCACCAAATTTTCTAACGTACAAAAATTTCTGTTTAGTTTTTTCAATAAAAATAAACATACACTGAGAAAATCTGCAGCAAAAACCTCTTTACTGATGTATTTTTAGCTATCACTACTAAAATTTTTCCCAAAGTTAAAAATTGACTTTCTTGTAGCAGTAAAATAGAGTTTACTGGTGTCTCTTTATTGATCTTAAAAAGCTCTTTGCCGTCGATAATAAATATTTCATTTAATATTTCACAATAACAAAATACATATTAGTAACAGGAAAAACGTTTTTCAAAAGAATTTTTATTTGTTTTTAATAAAAACTTTGCTGCCCCAATAAATACAATTTCTTAAAATCCGTATTTCGGGTGTTTCCGCCCTATTCGGGTATTTTCGCACGCTTCGGCGTTCAAACGCGTTGTCCGAGCCTGCAGGCACATTCACTTGCTGATTGTTTGTGGACGGTACCGTACCGTCGGTACGTTGAGCTTGCAATTTTAAATGAATAATAATTTAATTATTATTATTCAAATTAAAAAAGTGGCCAAGAAAATATTTTGTTTACCGTGTGTTGTGGGTGATCCGTCCTGTGACTGGCTTTTTTCTCTGGACTATAATGGAGTACAAGAAAATTCTAGAAGAGTGGGGCTTCTTCATTTTTATGGAAAATTTTGAAAGTAAGTTGACTAACCTATTTTTTAATGAAAATTATTTTCTTTTAAATAGAATTGGCAATATTACTGTAATTTTTGAAGTACTTATTATTAAAGTAAGTAAAGGATTTATTATTATTAGAGTAAAGGAATTCCTACCACCCCTAAATTCCAATTAATGAACTCGCCCGCCTTTCTCTTTTAAGTATCTATCGCCCGCCTTTGCCTTTACGTATCCATCACTTATACCTGTATTTCTCCAATTTAAATTGGAGAAGGTAAGGTAAGTTATAGATACGTAAAGGCAAGTGATAGATACGCAAAGTGGGGCGATAGACAGGTATAAGGCAAAGGCGGGCGACAGACACGTAAAAGGCAAAGGCGGGCTAGTTCATTAACTGTAATTAAGGGGTGGTCGTTAATTGTAATTAATGGACTTGAAAACGATAACTTTGTTTTATCTCAGAACTGAATGTCTGCAAATTTCTGAGATAAAAGTTATTGTTTTCAAATTTATTTTAATTTATTTTTACTGATCAAAGGCATTTCTGGAAGAACAACTTGTATAGTGATAATTTATCGGGGGTTAATGCACAAGAGGTCAATTTTTAACCGGATAATATTTTTTTTACGAAAATCTTTTTGCCATAAA